ATCTGATCAAACAGAGAATCATTTTTTTTAATGCAGACAGTAAATTTTCAGTCCTTTCTTCATATTATTAACAAGTTACTAACAATATATATATATATTTATATTTAATGCCTAAAATGCATGGAATAACTAGAAAAGATAGAAACGGGCATGTAGTGATGATACAAGGACACGTAGTGATAGGATAGAGGCAAGGGTTTGATTTTAAACTGAAAGAGGGTAGATTTAGATTAGACAGAAGAAATAAATTCTCTGAGGACAGTGAGACACTAGAACAGGCTGCCCAAAGAAGCTGTGGATGTCTCATTCGTGGAGGCGTTCAAGGCCAGGTTTGATGGGGCTTTGGGTAACTTGGTCTAGTGGCATACTAGAAGTAAATATTTCATATATTTAGGTTTGTCCTAAGCAAAATAAAATCTGGATGTCTAGCTCTCTTAGGACTACAGGCTGCCAAGGGAGGTTGTGGATTCTCCTTCTCCAGAGATATTCAAGACCCCTCTGGATGTCTACCTGTGCACCCTGGTGTAGAGAGCCTGTTCCACAGGGGGTTGGACTTGATGATCTCTAGAGGTCCCTTCCAACCCCTATAATTCTGTGATTCTGTGGTGGGAAGCATTTGAGTCCAGGACATTGTTGTAACCCACTGTTCAAGAACTATCAGAAATCAGCTTTGTAGAAGAGTTGCACTCTCATTCAAGAAACACACTTCAATACATCAGAAAAGTACTATACAGATGAAACTGTAGGTCCTGTTCCTGACAATATACTGCAATATTTCAGGAATGCTGAAGAAAACTGTACAAAGCAGGAATATATGTTTCACAGTGCATGGTCTAGGAGTTTAGGAAATTAGGCCTTTCTGATTCCTTTTGTGAGTCGCTTTGGGAATTCGACCTCCCTGTGTTTTCTGTCAGCTCCTATTTGAAGATACAGAGCTTTGTATCCTTGGTGCTGACTGGAAGCTAAGAGCTAACACAGGTTTAAATGGAACCTGAGTACTCCTGAACTTTATAGCTAGACACCATGATCAGCTCAAGAAGCATGGGCCATGCATGACTTCATGCTAAGTGAATGCTATAGCTATCATGTATGCTTTTCCCTAGTTACCTATTTTTGGCAACTGTATTGTACAGGATACTACAGTAGATGAACTTCTGATTTGACTACATTATGTAAGCAATATTTGTCATGTATCTTTAACACGCAGCTCTTCAACATCAAAGAGGGTAAGAATAAGGAGACAGATTCTGCTCAAGATAAAATTGCTTCATGAGACATGAAAACATTTGAAGGTCAGTATGGCTAACTTCAATTTTCTGTTTGAGACCCTCCGTCTCTCCCTAAAACTATGAATAGTAAGTAATAGTAAGTAAAGTGTACAGGCTTTAAAAAGGGATAATGATGGCACAGATGATTTTTTTATAATACGTCTTTCTGCTCAATATCCCTCTGCCAGGTAGCTACTCATTTTGGAACATATGGCATAGCAGGGCCATTCTTGATAGAGCTATTTGGCCATCCTCTGTTAAGCCCGGAGCAAAGGTCATGGAGCTAACAGAGAAACCAGAAAGGCAGCAAGGTCTGTTCACCTAACTGTGACTAAATACATGTAAACAGTAACAATTAATTTAATTCCTCTCTTTCTACAGCTGACTTGTTTTCAAGGACTTTGATTAACGCTATTAATAAACTACCACGATGAACTTTCCCATCACAAGGGAATGAATGCTGCATGGATCCAGAGGAAAGGAGACCTGGCCCAGCTTCTGCCAGCCCCCTGAGGGGCTGATGAGATTCCTGCCATTTCCCCTACTTTGGTTACACTGGGCATTATGGCTTGACTGGTACTGAGAAGACATCAGTGTAACGCTGACAATTTGGTAACTGCTGAGAAATCAGAAGGCATTAACAGGAGGTGCAGTAGGCAGGAATGTTGCTAAATTAAAATTCAAATGCAAGCAATACTTGCAAAAACTTGAGGTAAAACTGCTAGTGCATTGCTATTTATGTACTCATGCAGATGTGACAGGAAATTGACATATTAACACATGGAGATGTTGTAAAACTAGTTTTGACCAAGGAAAAGGATGAATATTTATCTCCTTAAGTGAAGGTTGACATACTTGAATAAAAAAAAAAAAAAAAAAGGAAGGATTATATCACATCACTGTAACTCCTCCTACTATTATTAGATTTCTACCATTGGTAGGATGGAGAAGACAGTAAAATCTTCTCAGAAAGCAGAAGCTTTACCTGAAGATAGCAAAAGTAACGTGAATATAATTCACAGGGCTGGACAAATATGGTAAAGAGCACCCACCTGACTTCAGCAATGCAAAATACTCACAGCTATTGAAACATGTGCCTTGAAAATCAACTTTACCATTGGTAGGACAGAGAAGACACTAAAAATCTCTGCACCAGCCCTGAGAGGAAAGGAACTCTCTGTACATTGCTATGCTGTCACTCTCCCTTGCCACCAAGGCCAAGCTGCTCAGAAGGGCTGTGTGGTGGAGACAGGGTTACATGTCACAGGCTGCCTTCAAAATGCCTCTGGATATCTAGTACAGAGTTAGTTGTTCCAGGTGATGACAGCTTCATAGAGCTTTTGTTTGACCAAATGAATGCACTTACTGTGGAAAGGCAGCTGGAGGTAACCAGATAAACATTTACCTAGAGGGCTACATTTTTGAAGTTTTAATTATCATCAGATTGCATGACAGTACACTGAGCCTATTATTTCACTGAGGTTAAGCCTACTAGCTCATCAGTTATATGAAAGGCAAGAACTCACTCAGCAAGAAAATATAATCTTAGCTACAGCCATGTGCAGTGAACCTGCTTTCTTGGTCCTCCATTTCATAGCATTTCTGGAGTTTGCAGGCTGTTAGTAGGGACCAGATGCTGCTGCTTTCAATGGGACTACCTGCATCCTGTCTGTTCTCTGGAGGAATTCTGTGTGCAAAATTCAAGGCACTCTGTTCCAAAGACAGTAAATAGAGGGACAATTGCTACTTATCCTCTTCTCCCTGCTTGCATCATAGGATGCATCATAGGATGCATCTCTTGACAGTACAAGCTTGTCTCCCTCAGGCTGCGCTGCACTACATAGCTTTTGCATACTTGCACACATCAAAAAACACTAGCATAGAGTATGCAAGTGATTTTCTTTTTTTGTCTGGAGAAGAAAAGAGTATGCAGCTATATCTAACGCATTTAGCATCAGCTAGCCAGCCTTCCTCTCTCTGCACACACTTCCCTCTCAACGTTGTAGTCAACATCAGAAAAAATATAGTTGTTTTCTCACTAATCTTGTTGTGTTTTTATGAGAATAATTGTTAGCAGTCCACATTATCCTTTTTATTTAAAATAAAAAGACTTCAGCCTCCTTAAGCTGGCAAGAAATCACAGAAACTGAGGAATCAAAATTGGCACAACAACATAGGAAAAATGTGGGAAAAAAAGGTAATTCCTTTAGACTTCACCATATATATCCAAAAGAAATCTGTTGTTAAGAGTTCAGAGATTTACTTCTTTGCTTCACAGAGCAAACAGATAAGTTAATGGTTCCTTGTAGCAAGAGAAGCTTCAAGAAACTTCATACAGTCTGTTGTTTAAAAAAAAATGGGTAACTGGGAATCAGAAGGAAAGTAAAAATGTGATAAAAACAGCTGTATGCTGAAGATGACAGTTACACATCTTTAAGGCATTATTTTTTTTTTCCCCTATCATGTTGTAGCACTTGCAATATACCATTTTCCTGAGTCAAGCATTGAGGCAAAAACTAAGCACAACATCAATATGACAGAAATAATATTGTATTGAAAAAGTAAGCTGAAAAATATATTGGTACTCTTACAGAGTCTTCACATGTCATTAGGGTATGGGGTTTTGCCAGTTGAGTCTCTAGCTTGATGTTTAAAAAAAAAAGGGGGGGGGGAGAATGGAAGAACATTGCCTTCAGTCAGAACCACAGCTCCCTTTCTGTAGGGCTGCTCTCCGACCTCTCATCCCCCAGACCCCATAAACACAAGGTTACCCCATCTCAGGCGTAGAATCCAACACCCTTGATAAATTAGATATAGTTGGTGATTGCCCAACCCTCTAATTCATCAAGATCACTCTGCAAGTCCTCTCCACCCTCGGGGGAGCAAGAAATTCCTCCCAATTTACTGTCCTCTGCAAACTTACTCAGTATACTTTTAAGTCTTGTATTCAAGTCACTGATGAAACAACTCCTGGTAACTGAGCCCTGTGGAATCCCACTAAAGGCTGACCACCAGCCTCATGGAACAGTGTTTACTCCTGATGCACCACGCTGTGCTTTTATTTAGCTGTACGCTGAGTATTTTGACTAAGAAGATACTGTGAGAAATCATGCCAAAAGCCTTGCAGAAATACAATCTGGCTAAATCTGCTGGCCTCCGTTGGCCAGCGAGGTGAATAACCTCTAAGTCTGTTAAATTGTGAACCCATGTCAGCTATGACCAATGCCCGCACTGCTTCTCAGTAGCTCACAAAACAGTCTCCTCCATAATTTCACCAGGCACTGGAGTGTGACTGACAGGCCTATAAATAATTACCAGCCTCTTGTTACTGCAATTTTCAAGACGGGTAACATTTGGCGGCTTGCAGTCGATGGAGGTCTCTCCAAGATTCCCTAGGCTCCTTCCTTTCATCTCCAGCAGCAGCGCCGACACTCCAGAAAAAAAGCCCTTCTCGGGATCATCCTTCACGACACACCGGCGCTCCGCTGCAGCAGGAGAGCCGCTGTCTGGGCGCCATTTGGAGCCGGCAGCCCTGCCGAGGAGCGGCCCCACCTGCTGCCCCCGAGCGCGGCCTTTACCCGCGCGGCGGCTCGGCAACGCCGGGGCGGTGTTGGGGCGGTGAACCTGCGCGGAACGTGGCGGCCGCCCATGGGAGGCGTGCGGACGGACGGCGCTCGCCCCTGAGTCAGCAGCGGCGCGGCGGTGGGCGGCACGTCGCCGCCGGCCCGTACCCGCCGAGCTTTGCCGGCCCATCCTGCTCTAAAGCCCAGCTCCTCTACTGCTCGCCCGCGGGAGAGACGGAGGCTCACCCGGCAACTATCCGCCGCCGCCAGGTAGGCTGGCTGCCGTGGCCTCGGGTGTCGGCGCGGTGGGAAAGGGGTGGCAAACGGAGCCGTGTTACAGCCCGAACCTGTATTTGTGTGCGAGCGGTGAGCGTGCTGCTGATGTTCAGGACGCGCCTTAGTGAGCAGCGGGGCTTAAACTGAAGAAAATACCGCCGCTGCGATTTGCATTGTGATTATGTGACGGTCTCGTTCCCCTCAGCACCTTCAGCAGCGTATGGCAAGAGCGCATCACCATTGAAAGAGCCGAATAGGTGAGGGAACAAAATTGAGCACGAGCTGGTTTTCACTGTAGTCCTCCATAAGCTGTTTGTGCTCTCTCGTGTCCCTCATACTTAGTATATGACAAGACACTGGTGTTGATACTGGCTGTTAGCTCTTCAGGGTAGGTTCACAGAGTCACAGAATGGCCAGGGTTGGAAGGGACCTCAAGGATCTTGAATCTCCAACCCCCTGCCACATGCAGGGCCACCAACCTCCACATTTAATACTAGACCAGACTGCTAGGTTGTGTGTGTGTTCTGTGCCGGTGTTTTATAGGACTCTGATACTCAACCTCATAGCTGTAACATGTTTGCTTTGCTTAATATTCCTGGTGTTCTGCAGGGTTTACTATTGAAACTGTTATTTCATCGTTAGGCATTGTCTTCAGCCAAATCTACATCTTAAAAACCAAGGGTAGTGCAAAGTTAACGGATGATGCTGTCCACCCTTATTTTGGTAACTGAGGTCCTGAGAATCGAGCTCCTCAGCATATTGCACATCAGTGCCTGAGTGGTGCACGTGTATACAGACCAATGCTTTTCCCTTAAACACAAGGCAGAGGCAATGTAACCTGGATTTTGCATGGTTGAGGCTAAATGCAGTCATGTTCATAGCCTGTGGAGGCTGTCCTCTAGCATGCTTGTCAGCTTCCAGCTTTTTCTGCAGGGTGTATTGTGTTGGAGGAATGGCACTTCATTAACATTTCAGTTTCCTTGATAAAAAAACACCTGTAAGCATGAATCTGTTGCATAGTCATTAGTTCCCTACCAGTAAGATATGATTCTATCAATTCTAATTATGACATTGAGTGAGGAAGTTTTGGTGATGTAGGCTATAGCTTACTTCAATCTTGCCTTAGTAGTTTTTGTTGCTGTCTTAGCAGGAAGAGATGACTACTAAATGCAGTGGTGTGAGGAGATGGGAGAGTTCCAAGTCTTCTCACCGACAGGCTTTTGAATCTGCTGGTGTAATGTCCATTAGGAACAGTTCAAAACTGTCCTAGCATCTGTTACACGTGGAGGCCTTCAGACCCTTTCCATTTGAATAACTGCTGTGGGATTCTTCGCATATTTGTATTACAAATTTAGCTTATAGATCTTAAAGCAAAAAAAGCAAACAAAAAAAAGCAACACTGTGGTTTTTTTTTTGCTTCTTAGTAATGCCACTGAATGCATATATTTAGTAGGAATTTGGCATTTGGAGGTTGGTCTGTGATCAAGTGCTGTACATGCAAACAATTTCCAATTTCAAGGCTGTAGAACAGGTACAGAACCACAGTAATGGATATTATACCCTTGGGGAGAAATCCTTCTTACTGTCAAGCGGTTAGCTTTCAATTTCTGTTACAATCTGTCTTTTTGAACAAATTTATAATATAATTTAGCTGCAGGTACTGTTTTTCCATTTAAATGTCTGATGTTTTTCCTAGTCAACATCAGGGTCTGACTGTACTGAATATTTTTCAAGATGATGTGAGGTTGCAGTTTACAGATCTGAATTGAGCAAATCATGCTGGGGATATGAATGGAGGTATCCTGGTGTCAGTTTTCAACTAGTTGGCCTTGTTGAAGAGGTGGTTTAGTGACTGTTTAGTCCTAATACGTTTTCCTGGAAGAATATCTGTTCTCTATGTGCTTTACTAATTCTTCTGCATGTTACAAGGAGTTTCACTGGTTAATATAGATAGATGAAAAAAAAAGTGCTCAGTCATTTAAGTGGAGCTGTAAAGGTTTTTATGTTGGTGGGGTGTTTGCATGCATCAGGGTCAATTTGCTTTTAAACTGAAGTCTGGCAATTCTTTTTTCCATTATCTCCACATATGCCTATTTTCCATGCAGTCTTCTTTTTTTCTACAGACTGCACTGATGGTGGGACAGGAGTGCTATCTTTAATTATGGGTATAGGATGACGTACTTTGGGAGAGGGAGGGAGGCCTGTGGAAATTCAGATTGCAGTTCTACATCTTGTGACGTGGCCGTTTCTACAGAAGTGGTTTCTGATCATCTCAGTGGCTCAGAAGACCTGTTGTTTTTTTTTTGTCTGTTTCTTTGTTTTTAAAGTTGAAGGATAATAGTGGATATAAAACTTAGAATGGTCATGTGGGTGAAAAGACTTTTTCCTACCTTTTTTTGACTGAGGAGATGTAGTACTTCTTCCTTTGCTCTTCTATCAACACACAAGCTTTCAAACCTAGAAATGAATGGACATCATTCATCTGCATTAAGTCCTGATGTTATCTCAGGCAATGGCTAAATGTTAAAGACTGTAATCTTGGAAGTGGTTAATTAGCTTTGTTGACAATAGCACTTGCATTGCTTGAGTCAGTCTGTGAATCTGTGAACAGCCACTGAAAGCTGTCACAAGTTAGATGGATTTAGGTAACTTGAAAGTCTGCTTTTATAACGCTGTATTGTTTCACTACAAAAAGATTACCTAAAATCCTAGTTTATCCATTTATCTTCAACTGTCAACTTACTGTTTCTTCTGATAGTTGCTAGTTGATGAAGACAATATCAGTCACCTTCCACAAAGGTGATAGAAGCCATAAAACAGAAAGTTTGCTTTTCATTTCAAGTAAAAAGGATTCCAGAGAGCTTTTGTGTTTCTTACAGCTGGAAAGTTTAGTGCCGTGGAAAGGTGATACAAGAGTGAAATGGCGAAAGGGACAAATGGGGAAAGAATGCTCACCTGTCTTCAAAGATCCAGGCTCATAGGGAATAACTCCATAAGGGAGGGGTCTCCAACCAGAGATCCTTCCCCAGTGGCAGTCAGCCCTTAAATGAGATCTAAGAGAGGTGCAGCCAATCTCCCAAGGCTGACCAGATCCTTTCCAAGGTGATCAACGGTAGTTTAGGCCATAACTCAACAGTTCCCATTCATTGTTAAAACTTGAATTTAATAAGTAGTTCCATATGTCTTTCCCAACAATGTTTGTATCGTGAGTACTATGACAGGTATTATTTTAAAGCTAAAATATAGTAAGTGTGTTAATTACAACAATTTAAATTGCACTGCAAAATAAATAACCCAGTTTTTTTTTTTCTACCCATTGTGTGGCTTTTGTTGCTTTGGATGAAGCTGTAAACTAATGTTATTTCAAGACAACTCATATTTTGTGGGACAGCCAGCCATTAATGTCTGAGGATACCAGGTATCTGCAGTTTTGCTTTGAGCAGCAGTATCAGATCTGATATTCTCTGTGTTGTGCATTTCTAAGGTCAGCGTCCAGGGTTTCTATGCAATATATTTACAAACTTGGATCCTCCAGATCTGCAAATGCAAAGCTTTGATGTTTAGGTAGAAGCAGTGTTACAAGAAGAGTTTGTTTTTAAGTGTTAGATATTAAATGGCACTATTACTGCTATTTTAGATGTCTATTGAATAGTAATGCTGCTGTTTAATAGAACCATCTGCAAAGGGTCACATATCAGGAATGATATCTTCTAAATCCTAGATAATGAATTAAATGGGGCCATGACTTTGTCCCATGAAGTTCGTCTTAAAAAAACAAAAAAGAAAGAAAAGAAAAAAGAAAGGTTATATTTCAGGTATTTAATGTTACACTGTGGGTCTTGTAGATTCAATCTGTTGGATTTTCTCTGCAGCAATCACAGAAAGAAATCTTTTTTCTGCTAAAGGTTGAGATTTCTCAATAATTACTGTAGTTCAGGAAATGGCTCTTAGAGAAAAAGATATGAAAATACTGAGGACTGCAGTACCATGGTAGTTTGAGCCAATGAATAGCCCCTTTTTATTTACTTTTGAGGGCTTCTACTCTCAGTATGGGGAAAAAAAGTACTGCTAGATTTAAGCTGATGCAGAAGCAAATTTTTTATGTTGTAGTTTTAGTAAATGACTAGTATGGTCATTTCTGACCATGAGCAGGTGCAAAATCATTCTTGTTCTGTGCTTTTATTAGTTATTCTGTCTTAAACTGCCTGAGTATCTTTCTTCTTCTTATACGTGGGTTGCTCCAAAAGTACTGCCTCCTATATATTTCCATGAAAATATATGGAAAGTACTACAAAGAGCACAGTAATGCTACTTGATAGAGCAAATTCTCAGCTACAAAGCACTATTTTTCAATGTAGTTACCACCATTAGATACGTGTTTTCTCCAGCAATGAGCTAGAGCCTGTTTGCCACTTGTAAAAGCCTGCCATCCATTGTGGTTTATAATTCACATTGATGTCACCACTGCTGAAATTCTCCACCCACCACCTTGCTGTGCTCAGATCCACTGCTTTGGTCACCATCAAGGTATGTCAATGGGTGCCATTTTATTCCACATAAAGAAATTCATTGACACACTTTTGCTTCAGGTGCACTTCCAGATCAAACACCATTCTGCCAGACTGCCCCCCTGCTGCCATCTGTTGCAAAGCAAAGAAGTGTAATGGAATGTTGAGAGGAAAATTCAACCTCTGCTGCCATACTGCCAACATCTGCCTCTGATGCCGTGGGCCAACATAATAAAATAGGAGGCGTTAGTTTCCAAGCAGTCCTCATTGTTTATTGAAGTTTCCCTGAATGTTTTAATGCTCTCCTGCAAATGGTACCTCAGAGATGGACTGTGCTGTGTGCTGTTGCTAGCTTTATTTCTTGCTTTCTGTCTTAATGATACTTGGACCAGGAATTGGGCTGAGATCATACACCACCACCGCACAGACCTTCAGACATCTGCTGGACAATGACAGCTTTAAGCTCCCTGAGCTTGAAAAAGATAC